GGGTGGAATAACCTTGAGGTAACTTCATATAGACATCCTCATGTAAGTCGCCATGTAAAAAGGCGTTGTTGACATCTAACTGATGTAAGAACCAGCCATTTGCTGCAGCAACAGCCAAGAGCACCCGAATAGAAGTGAGTTTGGCAACAGGGGAAAAAGTGTCAAAGAAATCGAGACCTTCCTGCTGGTTATAACCTTTAGCAACTAATCGTGCTTTATATCTCTCCACAGTCCCATCCGCTCTGAATTTGACTTTATAAACCCATTTGCAACCAATGGCATGTTTGTCAAGGGGGAGTTTCAAGAGGGTCCAAGTATTATTCTGTTCAAGAGCTGTGATTTCTGCATTCATAGCGGCCTGCCAATGTGGAAACCTGACGGCTTGGCCATAAGATTTTGGCTCAAAGACAGTAGAAATGGATGTAGCAAAAGCTTTATGGAGGGGGGCTAAACGATCAGCGGAAAGAAAATGAGAAAGAGGATAAGGTTTACCTGAAGCACAAGGTCTGGCCAGCTTCGAAGATGACAGGATTGCTAACGAAGAAGAAGGTAAATCACACTCATAATCATCCAGATGAGAGGGTAGAAGTCTGGTGCGAGTAGAACGTCTAGGAGCAGGAGAGTGTGTAGGAGAGCTACAAACTGGTTTGTCTGGTAAAGGCATATGTGCAGAATGATCAGAACTAGGACCAGCAGGGGGGATATCTGAGCTGAGAGTAGGAGGAAGGAGGGTAGGGGCTGGTGAGGAGGCTGGTGGAGGTGAAGAAAGAAGCACAGGTCCAGGTAAGGGAAATAAAGGGTGGTTTGTAGGTGGCTGAGGAGGCAAACATTGCCTGTAGGGAAAAGAACTTTCATGAAAGATAACATTCCGAGTAATAAAGGCCTTTTGAGTAAGAAGATCAAAGACTTTGTAACCTTTGTAGCCAAGGGGGTATCCAAGGAACACACACTTGGATGCACGAGGTGAAAATTTTGTTCTATGAACATTGAGGGTGGATGCAAAGCAAAGGCAGCCAAAGGTCCTCAGATGATCATAATCTGGTGGCCGTTGGTAGAGCATTTCGAAAGGGGTTTTATTACCAAGAATTGGAGATGGGATACGGTTTAAGATATGAACAGCCGTGAGTATGCAATCAGGCCAAAAGATAAGAGGCACTTGAGATTGAAAAAGGAGTGCTCTGGAGATTTGTAAAATAGACTGATGTTTCCTTTCGACCACCCCATTTTGTTGGGGGTTTCAACACAACTTCTTTGGTGTAGGATTCCAAGGGAACCATAGTAGTCAGGCATAGCAAATTCTGCCCCGTTATCTGTTCTGATAGATTTTATCTTGATGTTAAAGTGTGTGAGAACCATTTGATAGAAGTTTTTGATATGGCCACGAGTTTCAGATTTTGATTGCATCAAGAAAACCCAAGTGCAACGCGAATAATCATCAACGATAGTTAGAAAAAATCTATAACAATTGAGAGAATTGTCACCAAACGGACCCCAAATGTCACAATGAATTAAATCGAAGATTGCATTTGTTATTGATTCACTAATAGGAAAGGGTAACTTTTTTTGTTTTGCTAAAGGACAAATTTCACAGATATGTAAATTGTTACAAGGTATTCGAGAAGCAATATGAGGAATTTTTGACATTCTTGCTATTGATATATGGCCAAGTCTGAGGTGCCATAGATTAGGAATGGAATGCTGTGCAGTGTTGACTGCTGGAGTGATGATAGTCTGATGTGCAGAAGGTTTATTATGAATAACATGGAGTTGATATAACCCGTCTTGTTCCTTAGCAAAGCCAGTCATCTTCAAGGTTGACAGATCCTGTACGAGGCAATTAGAGGCAGAAAACATTACACAAAGATTGGAAGATTTAGTTAATCTAGAGACTGATAGAAGATTGAAAGAAAAAGAAGGTACGCATAGAACATTGTCAAGTGTTAAACTATCAGAAATTTGTACTTTCCCAGTGTGGCTAACTGGTACAGAGGTGCCATCCGGTAGATTGACACAAGTATGTGAAGTTGAATCAATGGAAGTAAAGAAGGCTGGAGAATAGATCATATGATCCGTTGCCCCTGTATCAATGATCCAAGAAATTGTTTGTGGTTTAAGATAGACTGTATTGCAAAATGATTTGGGGATACCTGTTGTGGTGTTAGATGTTGATTTGGTGGTTGAATTCTGTTGACTTTTAGAAAATGCTAAGAATTGTTGGTAAAGCTCTTGATTGAATGAAGTACTTGGCTCCCCATTATTCCCAGGTTGATCAGATGTCACTGTGTAGGCAGCAGGGGTATCAGATTGCATTCGTGCTCCTCTAGGTCCTTTCCATCCAGGAGGATAGCCTATGAGTTGAAAACACTTATCTGCCGTGTGATTTAGAAAACCACAGTGGGTGCATTTTGGCTTTCTCTTATCCTTCCAAGGTATAGGCCTGCTAGATGTTCTAGTGAACTGCCTTGCAACCATTGCGACTGGATCAGAGAATGAGTGATTGTGCAGGTCTCGTTGGCTTTCTTCCTGAAGTAGAAGTGCATATACTCTTGCTAGTGAGGGAAGTGGAGAAGTTAAGAGTAGTTGACTTCTTAATATAGAATAAGATTCATTAAGTCCAATGAGAAATTTCATGACCGCATCTGATTGCTGGATATCAGAAATGTTTCGCAATATGTCACAAGTGCAGTTAAAAAGCACTCCACAAGTGCATTTAGGGAGAGGTCTGCAGCTGATATACTCATCCCATGTTGCTTTGAATGAGTTGTAATATACCGTAAGTGTTTGTGATCCTTGAGAGATGGAACTGAGGGACTTCTCCAGGTGGTATACTCTAGGGCCATCACTACGAATGTACCTGGTTTTAAGCTCATTCCAAACTTCATAGGCAGATGTAATATACAGCAAACTTTGCCGAATTTCTTTATTGATCGAATTCAGTAGCCAAGACAACACGAGATCATTAGCTCGAATCCAACAGTTATATGAGGCACCAGATGAAGGATCTGGCATTGGCAATGATCCATCAATGAAAGCTGTCTTATTCTTTACACTTAATGCCATAGAAATCGAGCGGCTCCACGATGTATAATTTTCGCCATGAAAGACTTCAGAAACAATCAAGGCTCCTGGATTATCACTGGGATGCAGGTTCTTTATTGACCAACCTAGTAGTCCTGGATTGGAGAGTAAATTCGCCATTAATTCAGCACAACAGAAGTTTTAATTGAAAAGTTTAACTTGTCTTGAACAATCAACTGCAGAATCGCTCAATGATGAAGATAACTAAGGATATTCTTTGATCAAAGAAGAAGAAGAAGAGAGCTGCTGGAATAGAAGCCATTGGCTCTGATACCATGTAGAATTCTCAAGTCTGAGAATTATAGTTCATCCATGGAAAGATGAAGAAAGAAATTAAAAGATGAATGAAGAGGAATAAAATCTGTAAATCTTATTTCTTAAACTTCAATACGGTGTACATCATATATATATAAAGGAAAAGACAGATCTCAGCTTCTGTTTTTGAACAAAACTATTTAACAACTTTAACTATCTATCAACAATTATTTCAACAGATTTAACAATCCAACTAACTAAATTTGCCTAGCTGTCTAACTGAAATGAACCATGCCAGCTAGGAGGCAACATCAGCTTCATCAGCTGCTGTTGCGTTGCCTTTATCGTGAGACTCCTCTGGATTGGTTTTGTTCGCGAGATATCTGCCAGTCAGTATCCTTTACAGGTTAATCATCTACAATGTCCAGATAAATGGTAATCTGGACAAGTAACAATAACTATTCTATTATGAACATGCACTGACAAGTATAAATTTCCAGAACATTTCAATAAAAACAGGCACTGCAATATCTACGCAAGTAATCTTCTTGGCTACATAATTCACAAAGCAACCCCAGTTAAACATGAAACTGGTAAGTTAGACCCATGTACCATAAACAAATCATCAAAAATAGGAAAATCATCAATATAATTTCTTATCAAGGTCTTACTTAATATAGAAGTCAATGATAGTATCATTGATGAATGTCTTTGGCTGCAAAAGTTCGATATCTCTACTGCATATGGAGATAGCATCCGGATCCCCATCTGGATATATTAGGTCTTCAAATGGCTTGTTGGAACTATATCCACTGAAATTCAAGCAACAAATGTCATCAAAGCAGTAAAATTTTGACATGAAAGCAGCGATGCTGGACCTTATTTGGAAAGAGCTGATATTGCATTCAATCATGTGGTAAGAGGTTAATTTATTATCTTATTAATAATTGAAATAGAAAAGAAAAATCAGACCAGATCACAGAAAGAAAAAAAAAATAATGAAGAAAGTGTGTACAACAAAATCCGCAAAATACAATTAATAAACTTGTGTTCATCCAACAACAACGAAAACATACAGAATCAGAAGGTTGGTCAGGGCCATAAAGGCCTATATGAGATCCTAACAACATCAGGGCATGCTTACAAAATTTGAGCTAGATAACATGTTCAATAGTATTCATATTATGAATGATCTGTTACAGAAAACAGGCTATGGATACATGAAGTATAAGCAAAGATAGTGAAGAAAAGAAATATCCACTAGATCATGGCAGCATAATTTATGCTAATCGTTATGTGATACTCTACACATCCATAATTCTTGTGCACATGGACAAGACTATGGAAAAAGACAGAAAGCCATGAGAAAATCCCTAACTTAAGAAAGATTTCTATTGCACCTCGGAGATGTCATTTCTCATTGAGAATGAGATGACAGGTCTTTTCTTCATATGCAAGAAAATGATCCGAGCAAGCTTGGTGAGGAATATTATTATCCCGAAATATCCAAGAAAAAATGACATTTCCATTTCACTCACTTTACAAAAATATGTTATTCAAGCGAAAGAAATTATCTTGACTCCTCATTAAACTATCACAAAAACTTATATTTTAGAAAATTAGGACTTTTATTCTTTAACGTGCCTCAAGCAACAGTTAGGGTCCGTTTGATTGCAAATGTGAAAAATTGGTGGAAAGAAAATGAATTCCAGGGAATTGAATTGCCTAGAAATTATTTTATTGGGAATTGTAATTAATTATGTTTGATCAGTAAAATTTTTCACCTGAAAAATGTTGAAATTTTGGATCTTTTGGTGTTCGTTTCACTTTGTTTTTCATAGAAATTGTCTATTAAAGAGAAATTTTTTTTCACAATTGCGGATAGAATTTCTTTCCATTCCCAAAAAAAAAAAAAAAAAGTTGNAAAAAAAAAAAAAATTAAATAAAAAAACAGTTGGGTGAATTGGTGGGAATTGGTTTTCCATCAATTCAAGGAAATTGCTCCTGTGGCAAGCAAATCAAGAAAAGTAATTCCATGGAAAAGTTTTTGCATCAAACAAGGCAAAATGTAGAGTTGGAAAATGTTTTCCATTTTCCATGGAAAATCTTGGGCTATCAAACAGGCCCTTAATACATTAGACGCATAAGGAAAACAATATTGGAAAACAATAATGATATGTGTAGATCCGGGGTTGACACCCCGGATGACACCTCCCTCACATGGGGGTGGGGCCCGCGCATCTATATGAGGGGGGTGTCATTTGGGTGTCAACCCTGGATGTACACACTACATGATTGATTGGAAAATATTACACGAGAACTCATAAAATGGTAAGATTCATCATAAATCACACAATAATAACACAACAATGTAAAGTCTTCATGCCAAAAATGATGCAACAGTTTCTTTGATGAACTTCCCATATTTACCCAACCAACAAAGGATAACAAGATAATTGGATCCAGGATGCAAAAAATTACACACTAATGAACGAGTACCGACCTAACAACGGTACTCCAATGGGTTTTATATCTCATATCCAAGGATTTAATTGCTTCAAGTTTTTCAGACCAATAAGTGCCATTAGAAACTACAAACTCCAATGGTACAATGCCTGCACTCACAAAATTATTGCATAGGGAATGCCCATCTTTCTGTATCTTTTAGTGGGAAAATGACACAAGATGAGGCAATATGAAGAACAGGAAAGGCAGAAAAAAATAGCAAGGGTAATACATAAAAATATCTTAATTTTGAGCCAACACGTCCCTTTCACGACAAGCAAACAAGCAATAAATATAAATTGACATCCATTCAGAAGTGCAAATGAAAGCTGGATGTGTTGTATAGAACCTAAAGCATCATTGACGCAGGCATTCAGCTGCAATGCACAAACCTGCAGTTTTGTTAGAAATTTCAGCTGTGTTTTCTTCATCGGAAATTAAGTTAAACTTCACAACAGCCACTTTAACGTACAATTATAGTGCACAAAACTTAAAAAATTTGGGATGAAAATCAAATGTGTAAGCCAAAATTCAGGGAAGTTAGCCATACTTACACTTTCACACCATTCATGTTCGATGTCCACAATATTGGAAATCGGCCATTCTTGGCAACAAGGTCCCTTTCTCTTCCCTGCAGGTGAACCCCCTAGTTTGATGCATCTGCAAGAAAAAGTCAACAAACACTTCGTATAATATGTATTCCCAAATTTGACATAATTGGAAGTAACAACCACCATTATTTCCTGCAAATCACAACCAGAAAAATATAAAGCAAGAATACTAAATGTCTTCATAAGAGCAAACAAAGATCTGAATGCAAGGAAATGAATTTACATTCTATTAATGCTCTCCTATAGGTCAACTAAGTCATATACATAGTATGGTGAATTGTTAAAAAACTGGTAAAGGCTCTAGATTTGAGTTCAATTGCATTGAAGTGGAGATAGGAATAATATAATTATTCCCTGGAGCATCCAAATCTTTATAAAGTTTAGTTCTATCAACAAGTAATGGAGTTAAAACATGAGTGCAATATCACTTGTGTCAACGCCATACTCAAATGGTGGTTCTTCTAATGAACCTGAAACGTAGCAAAATATCTGCAATTCTTAAGAGTTTTCTGGAATAAAAGATATCTAAAGAAAGTTATGTGCTTGAAATGATATCTGAAAAAAGAAAGAAAAAAAACCTTCATTGTCTATTAGAGCAACAGAAGAAGATGATACTAATCCAATTCTTTGATCATCATCAGAATCTACATCAAGTACCTTAATCTGCAGGAACATGTAAAATTGATCATTTATGAATATTTAAAGATCTAAGATTCCTTGCAGAAAGATCAAAAATAAGAAATCAGATACATCAGTTAAACTTTGAGGTAGAGTACTGTTGGAACCAGTATACTTCTTATCAGTTAAGCTGTCTCTAGGTTTTCTGGCTGTTCGTGAACAGGATCTTGCACAACGAGAATAACATTTGAAATCAAGGTGATCTGGAGAAGTAGCCGATAATATATCATCCAACTGAATGCTACTGTCACCTGCAAAATTGTCATCAACATCGATGAGTAACGGTTTGTTTCCATGATCATTTTGTTGAGTCTTGGAGCCTTTCGCAACTACAAAATATATTTTTTGTTGGGTATTTGATACCCAATAAATCTGGGTGATGATGTTAAACCGGTTTTATAGTTTGGATTAGACTTCATAGGCCTCGATTGATGATTGAAGTGAAATGTCGACACTACAATGAACGGACCACTCCGACAACCTAAGTGGGCCCATTGGAAGCAGCCTAATTAATTAGAGTTGCTCATGGCCCAACCCAAATACATTGGACGGCTTTTTTGGTTGGAGGCCCATTCATTGTTAGTTATTGGGGCCACTTATCTTTGACCTAGAAGACCACTTATTTGGCTTATAAGTGGGTCATTTTTCTGGTCTTGCCCTAGTGTGAATGTTGGATCCGTGAGTTTGAGGAGAGAAAAGAAAGTTCTTACTTTGTGCTTCATCTTGCTTTGTGCTACCTTCTCATCCTCTTCCCTTAGCCTTAGTGGCTAGTTTGGGCTGCCAAAGATCATTCACCTCACTCCTTTGTGGAACTTGAAGCAACCAGTTTGGGTGGTTGTAGTTTTGGAGATTTGGTTGTTCGTTGTTGGTGTCGATTGGTTGGTGAACTGAGCCTGATTTCTTGGAGATTGAAGCCCTAATATTCTACAAATGGTATCAGAGCAAGTTGGGGTGATTCTCATGCTATAAAATCGACTAGGAACAACCAGAAAATCGAGCAGAAACTGAAGCAGAAAAACTGCCAGATTCTTGTGCAAAACCGAACCTACAAACTTGATTTCCGACGAATCCATAGATTTTTTGGACAAACGGTGACCACTAGTGGACTCGCAGGTGAAGGAGCTGCTCCCTGACCGGCGCGTGAGCTTATCCTGCGGTGCGTGTGGCGACCCGTGAAGCCCACGCGCAGAGGAATTTGCCAGCACGTGGGGCGTTTTCTGGCGTCGACTTATTCAGGCAGTTTGTTATATTTGATTTTGTGAACGTACTGATATTTTTGGTTTAGTGTTTTAGGCTTCGCAGAGAAAACTGGGCGATTTTGCCCCTACGTTCGTAATTCGATTGTCGTTGCCGCAGTTACTGGAGACTTTAGGGCGAATAGTGGTGGTCCTAAAGTGATAAGTTCGCTTCTCTCGAAATTTACGGACTCAGATATGTCCGCTTTGGTGAATTGGCTTATCCTGTTTAAATTTCAACATTAGCAAGTCATCATGTTGGGTGACATTAGTATTGGGGTTACCGTGAAGGGATAACCATTGCTTGTGCTAGAAATTTAGGAATTAATTGCTCTATTTGAAGTGTTGAATTTGATTGCAAGTTGGTAATTGCGTTTGTGCTATAACTGTTGTTTAGTCACTGTGTGAGACTGTATTGCGTGGAAATTTTGAATTTTTGTTTATATATCTTCGTGTTGTATTGATTATCCTGTTAGAACACCTTAGACTTGATCCATTCGAACGTTTCCTTGATCTGAGATTTTGAGTCTCACGAAACCATGGGAACCTAGAACGGTGTATATTGCTACATAAGGATTACTTTATGTGACCTATTTGTGCAATTTTGTTTGTTCTGTTTTTCAAAATGTCGTCACATTTCGAAATTGGAATTTTCAATGGGAAAGAGAATTTTTCAATTGGCAACAAAAGATGAAGGGGATTTTAGTTCAACAAAAAGTTTCAAAGGCCATTGAT